CCTTGTCTCTGCTGAATGTGGTTCAAGTGCCGACAGCAGCCACATCTTTTGTGTCCAGTTTCAGCATCACCCAAGCAGGCCCCTCGGGCCCAGGTGAGTGGAAGGCCTTTGAGAACCGGCAGGTTGAGGAAAAGCTCTAAAAACAAACCCAAGTCTGCTGAAACTGGTCTGGCTCAGTGGATAAAGCGTCGGCCTGTGGATTGAAGGGTCCCGGTTCGATTCCAGTCAAGGGCATATACCTTGGTTGCAGGCACATCCCCAGTGGGGGGTATGCAGAAGGCAGCTGATAGATGTTTTTCTCTCATCGACGTTTCTAACTCTCTATCCCTCTCCCTGCCTCTCTGTGAAAATCAATAAAATATATTTAAAAACAAGCCCAAGTCTCCCCTGGAAAGGAAAGGTGTTTGTGAGGAGCCACCCTCAGCAGGGGGCCGGTCTGTGCAGCCGTCCTTACGCAGCTCTGGCCACCGCTTCTCCTGGCCTCTGGCGCTCGCCAACCTGCCCCTCAGGCCCCTGGGCAGCCCCTGACCCCTTTGGACTGTTCATCCGTGGTGCTCCCGTGAGGGGGGGAGGCACGTTAGCACACATCTGTCTCTCTGGCTGACCTGCCTTTGCCAGCCCCGTTTACAGGCTCCAGCTGGAGGACCAGGTGGAAGGGACAGCCCCCCATGTGTGCTGCACCCAGGGTGTGGCTTCAGTGTCTCTCTCCCTCAACTGGCAGTCTCGGCACCTTGTGGCCCACATGGGCCACGGCGTCACCAGTGGCCCACGTGCTGGGCTCATCTTCTAGACGGCCTGTGGGTGAAAAGGGCCACGTTAACCTGACCAGCTCCGGGGAGGCTGCCTGTGGAGCACACTCAGACCTGCCGCCACCACACAGGTCTGGCACCGAGCTCGCCGAGCAAAAGCTAGCAGGCATGCGCACATCCCAGGCCGGTGGCTTGCTTGGCAAAAGCCACTCTTTACCTTACCTGAGCCTGTTGTCTTTTTCCATCCAGCCTGCCCTCCCCTGGGCGTCTCGGCTGCTCCGTCTCTTTCCGACCCAGGAGCGGTGAGACGATCACTGTTTTCGGGCCACTTTTTGGGGAAACGGGTTAGGCAGCCACCGGTGACAACACGTGCAGGCGGATGCTGGCTCTGGTCCTTGCTGGCCAGGAGGCACCTGGCCTGGCCACGCTCCTCGCCAGGCAGGTGAGCAGGTGCCTTCCCCACGGGCTGGCCGAGATCCCAACCATGACCAGACAGCCACCCACCAGTCCTGGCTGCCCAGCTACCCCGTTTACCCACCTCACCTGCTCACCAACCGGCATTTCCCGTCGGTGAAGCCATCTTGCTCATTGAGCTGCCCGGTGCCTACCAGAGTGCCTGACTCAGCAACTGTCCCAGCAGGACTCGCCCACTGGGAACGGACAGCTCAGAGGAACAGAGCAGGAGCTCCGGTGGGAACGGGCTGCGCTCCGGTGGGAACGGAGCAGGAGCTCCGGTGGGAACGGGCCTGCGCTCCGGTGGGAACGGGCCTGCGCTCCGGTGGGAACGGGCCTGCGCTCCGGTGGGAACGGAGCGGGAGCTCCGGTGGGAACGGAGCGGGAGCTCCGGTGGGAACAGAGCAGGAGCTCCGGTGGGAACAGAGCAGGAGCTCCGGTGGGAACGGGCCTGCGCTCCGGTGGGAACGGAGCAGGAGCTCCGGTGGGAACGGAGCAGGAGCTCCGGTGGGAACGGAGCAGGAGCTCCGGTGGGAACGGAGCAGGAGCTCCGGTGGGAACGGAGCAGGAGCTCCGGTGGGAACGGAGCAGGAGCTCCGGTGGGAACGGAGCAGGAGCTCCGGTGGGAACGGAGCAGGAGCTCCGGTGGGAACGGAGCGGGAGCTCCGGTGGGAACGGAGCGGGAGCTCCGGTGGGAACGGGCCTGCGCTCCGGTGGGAACAGAGCAGGAGCTCCGGTGGGAACGGAGCAGGAGCTCCGGTGGGAACGGGCCTGCGCTCCGGTGGGAACGGGCCTGCGCTCCGGTGGGAACGGGCCTGCGCTCCGGTGGGAACGGAGCAGGAGCTCCGGTGGGAACGGGCCTGCACTCCGGTGGGAACGGAGACGGGAACTCCGAGGCCCGGAGCGGCCACTGGGGCGGCGCTGGCCCGCCCCTCGGAGAAGAGAAGCCGGAGCGGCAGGTGCCGGAGCTCCTCCCGGGGTCTCCCACCGGCACCGCCAAACCCACACCCGCCCGGCTGGTCCCCCACCCGCCAGCCAGCGGTCCCGCCCCCTCTCTCTCACACACACACCCCTCTCTCTCACACACACCCCTCTCACACCCCTCTCTCTCACACACACCCCTCTCACACCCCTCTCTCTCACACACACCCCTCTCTCACACACACCCCTCTCTCTGTCTCACACAAACACACACACCCCTCTCTCTCACACACCCCTCTCACACACACACTGTGCCGGGAGGGCTGTGCCAGGAGGGGGCGGTGCCGGGAGGGGGCGGTGCCGGGAGGGGGATGTGCCGGGAGGGGGATGTGCCGGGAGGGGGCTGTGCCGGGAGGGGGGCGGTGCCGGGAGGGGGCGGTGCCGGGAGGGGGCGGTGCAGGGAGGGGGCGGTGCCGGGAGGGGGCTGTGCCGGGAGGGGGGCGGTGCCGGGAGGGGGATGTGCCGGGAGGGGGCGGTGCCGGGAGGGGGATGTGCCGGGAGGGGGCGGTGCCGGGAGGGGGATGTGCCGGGAGGGGGCGGTGCCGGGAGGGGGATGTGCCGGGAGGGGGCGGTGCCGGGAGGGGGCGGTGCCGGGAGGGGGCGGTGCCGGGAGGGGGTGGTGCAGGGAGGGGGCGGTGCCGGGAGGGGGCTGTGCCGGGAGGGGGGCGGTGCCGGGAGGGGGATGTGCCGGGAGGGGGGCGGTGCCGGGAGGGGGATGTGCCGGGAGGGGGCGGTGCCGGGAGGGGGATGTGCCGGGAGGGGGCGGTGCCGGGAAGGGGGATGTGCCGGGAGGGGCGGTGCCGGAGGGGGGATTGCCGGGAGGGGGCGGTGCCGGGAGGGGGATGTGCCGGGATGGGGCGGTGCCGGGAGGGGGGATGTGGGCCGGGAGGGGGCGGTGGCCGGGAGGGGGCGGGTGCCGGGAGGGGGATGTGCCGGAGGGGGCGGTGCCGGGAGGGGGCGGTGCCGGGAGGGGGATGTACCGGGAGGGGGCGGTGCCGGGAGGGGGATGTGCCGGAGGGGGGCGGTGCCGGGAGGGGGCGGTGTCGGAAGGAGGCGGTGCCGGAGGGGGCGGGTGCCGGAGGGGGGCGGTGGCCGGAGGTGCGTGCCGGAGGGGTGGTTGCCGAGGGGGCGGTGCCGGAGGGGGATTGCCGGAGGGGGCGGTGCCGGAGGGGGCGGTGCCGGGAGGGGGCGGTGCCGGAGGGGGCGGTGCCGGAGGGGGCGGTGCCGGAGGGGGCGGTGCCGGGAGGGGGCGGTGCCGGAGGGGGCGGTGCTGGGGGTGGTGCCTGGAGGGGGGCTGTCGGGGGTGGGGCGGCGGGGCGGTGTGGGGGGGTGAGTCAGGCGGCCTACGCTCCACGGAGGCGGGGCAACCTCAGCCCATGGTGTGGGCTGCGCCCTGAGCCCCAGAGGCGGAGCTCCCGCCCCTCAGGCCCCCGCCCGCACCCATAGGCTCACAGGGACCCGCACGGGGGCTCCCAGGGGGGCTCACACAGGGACTCACTCGCACGGCCGGGTGCTCACTGGTTTATTGAGGGTCAGGGCGCCGTGCTGGCAGCGGGGTGCTGCGCAGCCAGCACGCCCGGGGCACCGGGGAGGTGGGGGTGCCAGGGGGAGGGGAGGGGAGGGGGCCAGGCGGAGGGGAGGGGAGGGGAGGGGGCCAGGAGGAGGGGAGAGGAGGGGGCCAGGCGGAGGGGAGGGGAGGGGGCCAGGCGGAGGGGAGAGGAGAGGAGGGGGCCAGGCGGAGGGGAGGGGAGGGGGCCAGGCGGAGGGGAGGGGAGGGGGCCAGGCGGAAGGGAGGGGAGGGGGTTCAGGCGGAGGGGAGGGGAGGGGCCAGGCGGAAGGGAGAGGAGGGGGTCAGGCGGAGGGGAGGGTCGAGAGGAGGGGGTCAGGCGGAGGGGAGAGGAGAGGAGAGGGCCAGGCGGAGGGGAGAGGAGAGGAGAGGGCCAGGCGGAGGGGAGGGGAGGGCACCAGGCGGAGGGGAGGGGAGGGGGTCAGGCGGAGGGGAGGGGAGGGGGTAGGCGGAGGGGAGGGGGAGGGGGCCAGGCGGAGGGGAGGGGAGGGGGTCAGGCTGAGGGGAGGGGGCCAGGCGGAGGGGAGGGGAGGGCACCAGGCTGAGGGGAGGGGGCCAGGCGGAGGGGAGGGGAGGGGCCAGGCGGAGGGGAGGGGAGGGGGTCAGGCGGAGGGGAGGGGAGGGGGCCAGGCGGAGGGGAGGGGAGGGGTCAGGCTGAGGGGAGGGGGCCAGGCGGGAGGGGAGGGGAGGGGGCCAGGCGGAGGGGGGGGGAGGGGGCAGGCGGAGGGGAGGGGAGGGGGTCAGGCGGAGGGGAGGGGGCCAGGCGGAGGGGAGAGGAGGGCACCAGGCGGAGGGGAGGGGAGGGGGTCAGGCGGAGGGGAGGGGAGGGGGCCAGGCGGAGGGGAGGGGAGGGGGTCAGGCTGAGGGGAGGGGGCAGGCGGAGGGGAGGGGAGGGGGTCAGGCGGAGGGGAGGGAAGGGGGCCAGGCGGAGGGGAGGGGAGGGGGTCAGGCGGAGGGGAGGGGGCCAGGCGGAGGGGAGAGGAGGGCACCAGGCGGAGGGGAGGGGAGGGGGCCAGGCGGAGGGGAGGGGAGGGGGTCAGGCGGAGGGGAGGGGGCCAGGCGGAGGGGAGGGGAGGGGGTCAGGCGGAGGGGAGGGGAGGGGGTCAGGCAGAGGGGAGGGGAGGGCACCAGGCTGAGGGGAGGGGGCCAGGCGGAGGGGAGGGGAGGGGGCCAGGCGGAGCGGAGTGGAGGGGGTCCCAGGGGCGGGTGGGGAGGCTGCTGGCGACAGGGGCGGACCAGAGGCGCCGCCCTCACTTGTAAAGCAGATGGACTCGACTCCCATCACAGCTGAGCCGATCGGGGAGCTCAGGGGGGCCCCGGGGCAGGCCCCCGGAGGGGCCCGGGGGGCTGGGAGGGGGGCGCCGGGCGCGGAGCTGCTGCCGGGACTGGAGCTGGCGGCGCAGTTCGGAGACGCGCTCCTGTTTCTGGGGAGGAAAGGGGGCGCTTTGAGGAGCCAGACCGAAAGCCCGGGAAGGACCGCTCCCCCCCAGGCCCGCCCCCCTCAGGCCCGTCCCCCCCCAGGCCCGCACCAGGCCCGCCCCCCCAGGCCCGCTCCCCCCAGGCCCGCCCCCCTCAGGCCCGCCCCCCCAGGCCCGCCCCCCCCAGGCCCGTCCCCCCCCAGGCCCGCACCAGGCCCGCCCCCCCAGGCCCGCCCCCCCCAGGCCCGCCCCCCAGGCCCGCCCCCCCCAGGCCCGTCCCCCCCAGGCCCGCCCCCCAGGCCCGCCCCCCCAGGCACGCCCCCCAGGCCCGTCCCCCCCAGGCCCGCACCAGGCCCCGCCCCCCTCAAGGCCCGCCCCCCCCAGGCCCGCCCCCGAGGACTGGGGGAGGGAGGGGGGGGAGCCAGCGCACAGTTTATCTGGCCGGTACACCCTCACCTTAGAGCAGGTTGTGCCGCCCCCCAAATCTCAGGGCAGAGCCATCCCCCCTCGCCTTGTCTCTCCTGCCTCTCTCTCCTCCTCCCCCTCCCCCTCCCTCTCCTCCTCTCCCTCCCGCCTACCCCCGCAGAGCCCTCCCCCTCCCCCTCCTGCCTCTCCCTCCCGCCTCCCCCCGCAGAGCCCTCCCCCTCCCCCTCCTGCCTCTCCCTCCTGCCTCCCCCCGCAGAGCCCTCCCCCTCCCCCTCCCGCCTCCCCCCGCAGAGCCTCCGGCCTCGCCGTGCTCACCTCCGCGATGATCTTCTCCAGCTCCCGGTTCTCCTTCTCCAGCAGCCGTGACTTCTCCTCCTCGTGGTTGTTGGTGGAGGAGCCGGTCTTCATGGTGTCCTGGGCCTCCGACTGCCACTCCCCACGGGTGATGAGCCTGCGCATCTGGGCGGGGGCGGGGCGGAGGGCGGACTGGAGGGCGGGGGCGGGGCAGAGGGCGGGGGCGGGGCAGAGGGCGGGGGCGGGGAGGAGGGCGGGGGCGGGGAGGGCGGGGGCGGGGCAGAGGGCAGGGGCGGGGCGGAGGGCGGGGGCGGGGCGGAGGGCGGGGAGGAGGGCGGGGGCGGGGCGGGGGGCGGGGGCGGGGGGGGGGGGGGGGGGCAGGCAGAGGGCGGGGGCGGGGAGGAGGCGGGGGGGGGGCAGGGGCGGAGCGGAGGGCGGGGGCGGGGCAGAGGGCAGGGGCGGGGAGGAGGGCGGACTGGAGGGCGGGGGCGGGGCAGAGGGCAGGGGCAGGGCGGAGGGCGGGGGGCGGGGCAGAGGGCAGGGGCGGGGAGGAGGGCGGGGCGGGGGCGGGGGCGGGGCGGAGGGCGGGGGCGGGGCGGAGGGCGGGGGCGGGGCAGAGGGCAGGGGCGGGGAGGAGGGGCAAGGGCGGGGGGGAGGAGGGCGGGGGCGGGGCGGAGGGCGGGACCTGGAGGGCAGGGGCGGGGCAGGGGCGGGGCGGAGGGCGGGGCGGAGGCGGGGCGGAGGGCAGACTGGAGGGCGGGGGGGCGGGGCGGAGGGCGGGGGTGGGGCGGAGGGCGGGGGCGGGGCAGAGGGCGGGGGCGGGGCGGAGGGCGGACTGGAGGGCGGGGGCGGGGCAGAGGGCGGGGGCGGGGCGGAGGGCAGACTGGAGGGCGGGGCAGAGGGCAGGGGGCGGGGCGGAGGGGAGCAGATTGGGGGGCGGGGGCAGGGTTGAGGGGCAGGAGGGTGGAGCAGGGCGGAGGGTGGTGTAGGGGGAGGGGTGGGGCGGTTGTGGGTCGGAGGGCGGAGCGGGGGCGGAGCGGAGGGTGGGGCGAGGGCAAAGGGCAGAGCGGGGAGGGGAGCGGAGGGCGGGTCATGGGGCGGAGAGGGGGGCGGTGGGTGGTGGGCAGGCGGCAGGCTCACCTTGGGCACAAACAGCACAACCAGCGTGATGTAGGAGGAGAAGACGATGGCGAGCGAGGCGAAGGCGAAGGCCGCGTCCTGCTGGCTGGACAGGATCATGGTGACGGGCGCGGTGATGAGGCACAGGACCTGCGGGCGGGCGGGGTCTCAGGGGCTGGGAGCCAGGCTGCCCCCCCACACCTGTGCTCCCGAAGAGGACTCACTCCTCCCTCAGCTCCACCCGCAAACTGCCCGAAGCAGCCCCCGCCCCGCCCCGCCCCGCAGCATAGCGGAGCACCACCCCCGGTGAGCTCGCACCCGGGACCCAGAGCCAGCCGCACACCTGGCAGGAGCTGTGCGCACAGGTGTGTGCAGGGCTGTGTGCAGAGCTGTGTGCAGAGCTGTGTGCAGAGCTGTGTGTGCAGAGCTGTGTGTGCAGGGCTGTGTGCAGAGCTGTGTGCAGAGCTGTGTGAGCAGAGCTGTGTGTGCAGGGCTGTGAGTGCAGAGCTGTGTGTGCAGGGCTGTGTGTGCAGAGCTGTGTGTGCAGAGCTGTGTGCGCAGAGCTGTGTGCGCAGAGCTGTGTGCAGAGCTGTGTGTGCAGGGCTGTGTGTGCAGGAGCTGTGTGCAGAGCTGTGTGCAGAGCTGTGTGTGCAGGGCTGTGTGTGCAGAGCTGTGCGCGCAGAGCTGTGAGTGCAGAGCTGTGAGTGCAGAGCTGTGCGCGCAGCTGTGCGCAGAGCTGTGCGCGCAGAGCTGTGAGTGCAGAGCTGTGCGCGCAGAGCTGTGAGTGCAGAGCTGTGAGTGCAGAGCTGTGAGTGCAGAGCTGTGAGAGCAGAGCTGTGCGCAGAGCTGTGCACGCAGAGCTGTGAGTGCAGAGCTGTGCGCGCAGAGCTGTGAGTGCAGAGCTGTGCGCAGAGCTGTGAGTGCAGAGCTGTGAGTGCAGAGCTGTGCGCAGAGCTGTGAGTGCAGAGCTGTGAGTGCAGAGCTGTGCGCGCAGCTGTGCGCAGAGCTGTGCGCGCAGAGCTGTGAGTGCAGAGCTGTGCGCGCAGAGCTGTGAGTGCAGAGCTGTGAGTGCAGAGCTGTGCGCGCAGAGCTGTGAGTGCAGAGCTGTGCGCGCAGAGCTGTGAGTGCAGAGCTGTGAGTGCAGAGCTGTGAGTGCAGAGCTGTGCGCGCAGAGCTGTGCACGCAGCTGTGCACAGAGCTGTGCGCGCAGAGCTGTGAGTGCAGAGCTGTGCGCGCAGAGCTGTGAGCGCAGGGCTGTGAGTGCAGGGCTGTGCGCGCAGGGCTGTGCGCGCAGGGCTGTGCGCGCAGGGCTGTGAGTGCAGGGCTGTGAGTGCAGAGCTGCGCGCGCAGAGCTGTGAGTGCAGAGCTGTGCGCGCAGAGCTGTGAGTGCAGACTGTGCGCAGAGCTGTGCACGCAGAGCTGTGAGTGTAGAGCTGTGCGCGCAGAGCTGTGCGCGCAGGGCTGTGCACGCAGGGCTGTGCACGCAGGGCTGTGCACGCAGGGCTGTGAGTGCAGAGCTGTGAGTGCAGAGCTGTGTGTGCAGAGCTGTGTGTGCAGAGCTGTGAGTGCAGAGCTGTGCGTGCAGAGCTGTGAGTGCAGAGCTGTGAGTGCCAGAGCTGTGAGTGCAGAGCTGTGTGTGCAGAGCTGTGAGTGCAGAGCTGTGAGTGCAGAGCTGTGAGTGCAGAGCTGTGCGCAGAGTTGTGCGTGCAGAGCTGTGAGTGCAGAGCTGTGCGCAGAGCTGTGTGTGCAGGGCTGTGTGCGCAGAGCTGTGTTGCGCAGAGCTGTGAGTGCAGAGCAGGGCTGTGTGAGCAGGGCTGTGTGAGCAGGGCTGTGTGTGCAGGGCTGTGAGTGCAGAGCTGTGCGCAGAGCTGTGCGCGCAGAGCTGTGTGCGGAGCTGTGTGCGTGTTAGAAGCCCAGAAGCACCTTCCAAACCTCTTCCAGGCCGCCCACCCGCACTCCCGGGTGCTCACCGCCACGTTGTAGATGGCCATGCCCACCGCCCGGTGGTCATTGATCTTCTCGGTGGACACGCTCTTGGTCTCGTAGGCCAGGAAGATGCCCAGCAGCAGCAGCAGCCCCTTGTAGCCGTAGAAGATGCCTGCAGCCGGCCCAGGGGTCACCGCGGGCCGCCCCGCCTCCCCTGCCCCCAACCGCCCGCCTCCCCGACCCCCCTGCCCCTCCCCGCCCCTGCCCGCCCTCCCCTCCCCGTCCCTCCGCCCCATCCCCGCCCCTCCCCCCGCCCTGCCCCTCCCCAAGCTCCTCACAGCCTCACAGCAGCCCTCTCAGGCAGGCATGGCAGAGGGTCACTCCGCTGGACTGCCGGCCTCTGCCTCTTCCCCAAACCGCCACCCTGTGCCCACACCCCCACACCCCACATACACACCCACCTACACCCCACACACCCCACCACACCCTCCCACCCGCCCAAACCCTGACCCCCCCACCCCCATGCACACACCCACACACACCGAGCCACGTGTTCATCTTGCGGGAGCTGCAGTGCTCCAGCTGCGGCAGGATGGACACATCGATGTCTTCCTTGGGCTCCTCCTTGGCGAACGTCTGAGGAAACGGTGTCACGTGTCCCCAGCTCCGCCCGCTTCCAGGAGACCCCGGGAGGCCGCCCTCCGCCCGCCCCGAGCCCGGCTCGCACCTCCACCGTCCGGTGCAGCGGGTCCACCACCTGCCAGACGGCGAGCGTGAGCAGGTCGGTGCCCACCAGCAGGCCCACCGTGGCGTACAGCTTCCAGGGCTCCAGCGTCTGCGGGCGCAGGCCGTCACCGGGCGCAGGCCGTCCCCGCCCCCCACGCCCCCCTCCGCCCGCGCCCCCACCCCTCCACCCCCCGGCACAGGCCGTCCCCCAGGGAACAACCAGGGAACAACAGGCACTCACCTTCCTCCACTCCTTCTTCTCCTCCTTCTTGGTGAACACCGTGTGCACCCACCAGATCTTGGTGAACATGGAGCCGTAGCCCAGGCTGAAGCCCAGGCCGAGGAGCCAGAGGCGGGCCTGGGGGAGAGGGACGGGTCCGGTGGCTGCAGCCGTGGGAGGGGGGACGAGGGGGGCAGGGAGAGGGAGGAAGGGGCTCCTGCCTTCAGCACACCCCTCCACCCATCATCCACTCTGCGCCAGGGGCCCGCCAAACCTCCGGCCTCTGAGCCGGCCGGCACCGCTGGCCCGCACGGCCCCGGCTGGGACCCGAGGCCGCTGCGACAGCCCTGCTCTGACCGCCGCCGACCCCAGGGGCAGCCCGCCCGCCCGGCCGGTGCCGGGAGCAGGCCCGGAGCCGGGGCAGAGGGGCGGTGCGGGGTGGCGGACACGGGTTCCCGCCAGCGCAGCTCCGCCCCGCCCCGCCCCGCGGCGAGGCCCCCCGGACCGGCCGCTGTCCTTCCCACCGGGCCACACAGGACACGCCGCCACGGTCCCTCCTGGGCCCCGGCCCTGCCAGGGCCCCACAGCTCGCTCGCACAAACACCCGGAGCCCAGGCAGGGAAGCCACGCCGGCCGCCTCACCTGGCACACGAAGGGGAACTGGTTTCTCCCGATGTGGTACCCGTCCAGCCCGAGGGGGAAGACGGCAGCCAAGGCCAGCGAGCAGCCCACGGCCGTGAGGTTGTTCAGGGTGGGCTGCGAGTTCTGGATGTAGCTGGCCCGCGGGAGGGAGAGGAGAGCGGTCAGCCCTCGGGCGCCGGGCGGGCGGCAGCAGAGGCGGCTGCGTGCTGGAGGGCTCCCCGCCAGGCCGGCTCCCTCAGCCCGCCCTGCCCCTGCCCCCCGCGCTGCAGGACCGGAGCGCGGAAGGCGACCGTGAGGAGGGCAGGCCGGTGAAAACCCGGGCCTCAGAGTCACAGGTTTGACTCTCAAACGATCACCATCTTGGAGAGGCAGGCAGGACAACAGCCGGAAGATACACTTACCGGACGTGCGAGTTGTAGATGTTAAAAGACAGACAGACAACAGCTAGGACAATGCCCAGGCTCGAGAGAACCGAGACGGAGATAAAGAGTTTCTGCGACAGGAAGCGGAATGTCTTGATGACCAGGGTCTGGTCAGCAGGGGGAGACCCTCCTGCAGGGGAGGAGACAGAGGGGAAGAAGAAGGAGGGCCGCGGGAGGCAGCGGCAGCTGCGAGGACAGCCCAGGAGGGCATCTGCCGGCCACAGGCTGCAGAGCCGGCCTCAGTCTTTCCTGTGATTGTCTGTTCTTTCTGCTTTCGTCTCTTACAGGGAAGGGAAATGGGAAGGGAAAGGAGGGATAGCTGAGAAAACTCTAAGTTTCTTTTAACTCAAATCAAAAGCTTTGATTGTAGAGTCATAAAGCTGAGCCTCCAAGGATCTGGCCTGGCCTCGGGGCTCCAGGAAAGAGGACACAGAGCTGACTGTGGCTTTAGGCCTGGCTGGGCATCCCCGAAGGTGTTTCCAGCATCGAGGGGAAGCGTACGTGTGTCCGAGTTCACAGGGGAAAAGCTAATTTCGGTGCCTGTGGCCTGGGGAGGCAGACTCAGGCCACAGGCATTTATAGCCAGTGCCCCGATTCCAGCCGCCAGCCGGCGGGCGGGTCCTCGCGCGCCCGCTGTCCTCACCACGCCCACCTCTTACCAGGCCCTGCCCCTGCCCACTCTGTGCCTCCACGTCCTGTTACTTCGGCCACCTAGCCCCAGAGAACCCCGCTGCCCGCTGCGACAGGTGCCGTCCAGCAGACAACACTCCTCTCTCCTGTGGGTTAAGCAACTGCTTTCTGGTCGGATAAAGAGGCAATTCCAGGCCTCATACATCCAGGCAGCAGACACTGGGGAGACCACGGAGACTGTTCCTCTCCGACACCCCTCCTCCGCCCAGACTTGGACTTCTATCCCCTCTCCACCCAAACCTGCCCACCGCGGGAGCCTTTCCGCCTCATGGCACCGCCAGCCGCTTCTCTCAAGGGCATGGCCTGCTCGTGACTGTCAGCGGGGCCCACTTACCGATCCACTTATCTGTTTTCGACCAGGAGAGGTCATCCTTGGTGCTGTCGTAGTAGCCGATCTTCTTGTAGCTGCCACCTGGGCGGGCCAGAGGAAGACGTGGGCGGGGCCGGCACCGGCACCGGCACCGGCACCAGCCCCCCCAGCAGCTGTCCACCGCGCCGAGCGCTTGGAAGGGCTGCGGTCACGTGACTGAGCGGCGGCGTGAAAGCAGGGTGAAGGGCCCCACGAACCAATGCCTCGTGTGTGGGAGGCCGCCCCACAGCACCCGTCTCCCTGCGGCTCCAGCGTTAAGCACCGGGCACGCCCGTCTCCCTGGGGACAGAGCCACGGCCTTCCTCCTCGGGGGCTGGCGTGGCTCCCAATTCCGCACCTTCGTGGCACCCGCCTCTCAGAGTGCCGCCGGAGCACCCGGCCACGGCTGAGCCGTCCCGACGGCCGGCCGCACCGCCGGCCCCCACGGCCGCGGCTCCTGGCACAGGCACCTCGGGGCTGGGGGGCAGCCGGGAGCCCAGCTGGCTCTCCCGGCTGAGGCTGAGGCTGAGCAGGGCCGTGCAAAGTAACCCGCGGGAGCCCGGCAACGCCCGAGGGTGCCCAGCTGTAAGACACGGCCTGGAAAAGCCAAACTACACACACACCACACACCACACACACCACACACACCACACACACCACACACACACACCACACACAAACACCACACACACCACACACCACACACCACACACACCACACACACCACACACACCACACACACACACACCACACACACACCACACACACACACCACACACAAACACCACACACACCACACACCACACACACACCACACACACACACACACACACACACACACACCACACCACCACACCACACACACACCACACACACCACACACACTACAAAAAAAACAAGAATGCTTCCTTATGCCCTGGCCAGTGTGGCTCAGTGGATAGAGCATCGGCCTGCGGACCGAACGGGCCTGGGTTCGGCTCCGGTCAAGGGCACACACCTTGGTGGCAGGCTCCTCTCCACCCAGCCGCTGGACATGGCTCATGCAGAAGACAACCAATGATGTGTCTCACACCAATGTTCCTCTCCCCCCCTCTCTCCCTCTCTCTTCCCCTCTCTCTAAAAATCAATAGAAAACTATCCTCGGTGAGGATTAACAACAGAAAAAGGTGTTACTTACGTATGCATCAGTAAAACTCTTTACGTTCCCTTTAAAAATAACACGCTTCTGCCCTGGCCCTTGGACCAAAGGCTCACGGGTTCGATTCCTGGCTCAATGGAGGGGTGCAGGAGGCAGCTGATCAATGTCTGACCCTCCCATCGCCGTCTCTCTCTCTCTCTCTCGCTCTCCCTCTCTCTCTAAAAACCAATTTTAAAAAATATGCTCATGAAATTAACTGAAAAAAAATAGGTTTCCTGGAGTCTGTGGGTATGCAAGCGACAGGTCATTAACTCCTCAAGCCAGCCACACAGGGGCTTCCCCAGTCAGACGGAGCCAGCGCAGGAGGCAGGAGGCAGGAGCACGACCACACAGCCCCGAGGAACCGCGGGGAGAGAGGGATCGGGACGGGGCCGCCCGCCGCCTCGCCGCCCGCCGGCTCACCCTGGAGCTGCTCGATGAGCGTCCATGCCATCCGAGAGCCGCTGGCGTCGAACACCACGTGGCCCTGCGGGGAGCAGCAGAGCCCAGGGAGAAAAGCAGGCGTGAGAGCGCGGCCTCACTTTGGGTCTGATGCTCGTGAAGCTAGCTGAGGTCCTGAACGAGTTCTATTTATGGCATTTGCCTGCAAATAGGACATACCCCAGATACCCACACCCTGGACTTCAGAAAGATTATTCTTTTGAGAAGCTTCACCATGACGTTTGGTGGAAGCATCCCCACAGGCACCGGGGCCGGCTTCTGGGTGTGTGGCCTGCGCAGGCCACAGTCCCCGGGCGGTTTCCCACTTTAAAGGAATAAGCAAACGACCCCTTTCCCCTTTCAAAGCCCTATAATCCTCAGCCGACACAAACATCCGGCTACAAAGGAATGAGGAGGGGGGGCTGAAAGCAATGGGACGGCCTTTCCCCATCGGTCCCCGGTGGCTTTGGGGTCCCCCTCCTGGTCCGAGGCCGTCGCTGAGGGAGAACAGGCACTGACTCACGGACACGCCCTCGAAGGACGAGGAGTTCATGGCGCGGTAGATCTGGTCGGTGATGGTCTGGTTGTTGTAGTTGAAGTCCTCCAGGCGCACGCCCGAGCGGCCGCCTCCCGACGTCTTGTTCAGGGCCAGGGCCAGGGCCCAGATGGCGTCGTAGGCCAGCGGCGCCTCCTGGAAGCCGCCCGTCTCCTCGGGGTGTCTCTTCAGCCTCTTGGTCAGCTTTTCCACAAACTCCTGGGAGGTCTGGGGAGGAGGGTGGGTGTGGGAGGCTGGGTAACCGCCGGCCGACAGCGTGCCGTGAACGGCTGGTTACGCTCCTGCTGTCAGGCTGAGGGAGCGCGCACACACGCACACACGCACACACACACGCACGCGCACACACGCACGCGCACACACACACACACACGCACGCGCACACACACACACACACATGCACGCACATATGCAGAGCCTTCAGCTACACCCGAGGCCACGGGACTGGGGCAGGAGCAGCCAGACCGATACCTCCGTGTGACAGCTGCTCAGAACTACACACAGCTGCCACGGCGTGATGAATGGTGGAGGTTAGAATGCGGAGAGAAAAGCAAAGCAAGAGAACGGCTGTGCCCTCAGGTCGCCTTCCCAGGACAGCCTGCCCACACACAGTCCGGCTCGGAGGCCCCGTGGCGAGGCCTGGACCTCCACCCTCCGGCGGCCGACCCTTCCCCAGCCTGGGCAGCGACATCACCCTCACAGCTTCAAGGCCTATCACTCCACCCTACCCACTCCCCTTCAGCCCTCTTCTTGGAAATGTTTTTCCAAGAAAGCTAAGTAACAGAATGACAGTTCCTTTACTCCAAAGTGGGTCAGAGACGAGTTTCTGCCTGGCAGTCTCTGCGCAGGATGAGCAGAGGCAGTCCCGAGCGTTTGAGAGCCTCCTGTTTATGGAGAAAATCACGCCCGCCCTTCCCTGCCTCCCAAAACCACACTCAGTGGCCACTTCTCGGCAAGGCCCAGGAAAGACTGGGCACCAGATTGGATTTGAGAATGTTAACACACTCACTCTATTGAGGACATGAATGAAGACTTCACTCCTGTGGCCCCCACTTTTCTTTCTATTCCACTTTCTGGACACAGAGGAGGAGCGAATGCAAGGCCAGGCAGTGTGGTGCCCTGCGAGCAGCCTGGCTTTGCAGACAGACAGGTGCTCTCCTGCTGGAGGACAGGACCAGGCTCCGTCCCTCTCCTTCCTCAGAACCCAGCACGGTGCCCTCCCAGGTGGATGTCCATTGGATTAGGGCAGTGGTCGGCAAACTCATTAGTCCACAGAGCCAATATCAACAGAGCAACGATTGAAATTTCTTTTGAGAGCCAAATTTTTAAAACTTAAACTATATAGATAGATACATTGTTATTAACTTTAACTAGGGTACTCCTAAGCTGGCCTTTGCTAAAAACCCAAGGAGCCAAAGAGCCGCAGTTTGCCGACCACTGGATTAGGGCACTGAAGATGCTAGTATGGTTCTGTAAGGGAAGTGTGTGTGTGTGTGTGTGTGTGTGTGTGTGAGAGAGAGAGAGAGAGAGAGAGAGAGAGAGAGAGAGAGAGAGAAAGAGAGAGAGAGAGAGAGAGAGAGAGAGAGAGAGAGAGAGAGAGAGAGGAAGGGAGGGAATGCACAACTCCAAGACTGAGCCGTCATGACACGACACTGTGGACTTTGAGTGAAAATGACATGTCAATGTCGGTGCATCGTGGCCATCGGGCATACTGACAGTGGGGGCTGTGTGTGTGAGGGCAGGGACGTGTGAAAAATCTCTGCACCTGCCACTTATCTTGCTGTGAACTTGAGCTACTTTAAGAAATAAAGGAAGGTCCTGGCTGGTTTGGCTTGGTGGATAGTGTATCAGCCTGTGGACTGAAGGGTCCTGGGTTCAATTCCGGTCAAGGGCACATGCCCAGGTTTCAGGTTTAATCCCCAGTAGAGGACATGCAGGAGACAGCCAATCAATGATTCTCTCACCACTGATGTTTCTCTCACTCCCCCTCTACCGTCCTCTTGGAAATCAATAAAAATATATTTTTAAAAAAGATATTGCTCAGCCAAAATCAGTTTGGCTAAGTGGATAGAACATCGGCCTTCAGACTGAAAGGTCCCAGGTTCGATTCCGGTCAGGGGCATGTACATTGGTTGCGGGTGTGCAAGAGGCAGCTGGTCAATGTTTCTCTCTCATTGGCGTTTCTAGCTCGCTCTCTCTCTCTCTCTCCCTTCATCTCTGTAAAAAATCAATAAAATATATTTTAAAAAAAAAGATATTGCTCAGTGAATAGCTTTAAAAAAAAATGTATTTGTTGTCCAGCTGGTGTGGCTCAGTGGTTGAGCATCAACCTATGAATCAGGAGGTCAGAATTCGATTTCTGGTCAGGGCACATGCCCTGGTTGTGGGCTCAGTCCCCAGGAGGGGACGTGCAAAAGACAGCCAAACAATGATTCTCTCTAATCACTGAATGTTTCTATCTCTCTCTCCCTCTCCCTTCCCCTCTGAACTCAATAAAAACATTGTTTTAAAAAAACTATAAAAAAATAATATCAACTCAAAAAAATGGCAGCGGAATAGACAGATGAGACCTGAGCCTTGTCTCGGAGAGATAGAAGGAACAGCAGAGGGTCCCACAGGGAGTTTGTTGGTGAGCTGAGGGACGGCTGTCCTCCAGGACAAGGTGGGACTGCTGGACGGGGCTCCCTGACCGGGCAGCCCCCACTGCTGCCGGGGTCCCTCCCGGAGCCACCGGCTGGGACTCAGAGACCGCGCCATCTTGAAGGGGAAGGGATGTTACTGGAAGCCTGAAAATCTACACCCACGGCACCCGCCGAACAGCTGCGAACCCAGCACCGGCCCCAAGTGACGGAGCACGGGACTCAGAGGGCTCTGCACGCCCACGGAGAGGTCAGCTTCGCCCGGGGAAGGGCGGCCTCTGGTCCCAGGGACCGGGGAGCTCTGCGCCTAGAAAAGCCTGTGGCGGCTGGGCCGGCACGACCGTGACTGCGGAGGGTCCGCAGAGACGCTGACAGAAGGAGCTCTAAGAAGAAATGCATTTGATCTGACGCAAAAGGACAACCTAAAAAAGTGCGCCGATGCTTAGAGACGGGGGAAAGGACTGCACAGACTGCGTGCAGCCCGAGCTCTCACTGGCGTACGCTGGCTCCCCGACCTTTAAATCCAGCTTCTGATCACTGAGCCCAATGCAGAGCGTCCCCCCGCCGGGGACACCCTGAGTCTGCAGGGGAAAGCCGTTTCTCTGGAACCTGGGGTCAGAGCGGGGATAACCACCGGAGAGCCAGCCCAGGGCGGCCCACAGGGAAAGCAGGACCTCAGCACTGGCTGGAGGGACCCAGGGGCCCGAGCCCAAGCCAGAAACACTGCCACCCGGGGGCCGAGTCACAAATTGACTCTTATATAATGACAAATAAAGGAATACAAGAAATTAAGACAGCGCCTGCTTAAAAATCAGGACTGGCTTACAACAGTGAGGACCAGTGGAACGCAGGAAACTGCAATACCGTCCTGACTGGCAAACAGGCCTGCCAAACGGAACAGTAGAGGAAGTGAATGACCTTCACTGCTGCACTTTTTTTTAAATGTTTTTTTATTTTTTTTTTTCGTCTTTTACTTGAGAAACTAACTTTTTTCCTCACTTGATTTTACCTTTTTAATTATTACATTTTTATTTTCAGTATTATTACTACTACTATTTTAACTTTTTTTTTTTTTTTTACAAAAAAGTGTCCTTTTATTTTCTCTTTATTTTACTTTCAGATTAGTGTCCTACATTCTATATTCATCTTTCCTTTAGCATCATTTTACTCTATCTCAAATATACCTTCATGCCATCACTCTCTTCTTCACTTTTCCTCCTTTGGTGTCCTGTTTCTCTTACCCTTTTCCTGCTTTAGATTTTACCTATTCCTTCTTTTTTATCCCTTTAAAATTTCACCCTACTTAGATGTCTAATTTCCAATCCCCTGCTCCAAGTCCATACACACCTCTCTCTTCCCTGTCTTTACTATCAAAAAAATGTTCTTTGCTCTGTCCTTTTTTTGTTGTTTGCTTGAATGTTGATTATATTGATTTGTTACGCTTGTTTGTGAGATTATTTTGGTTTTTTTTGTGTTTTTTTTTTTTTTTTGCTTCTGTTTTCCCTCACCTCGCTTGATATTAGTTGTTGTTTGTAGTTTGCATTCATCTCTACGTGTTTGTTGCTGGCATTTGTTGGGATTAGTGGCTGTTCTATTGGAGTTTTCTCTCCATATATATAGTTTGTTCCCCTCTTCTTTCATATTCTTTTTTCTCTCTTACTTTTTTTTCCTTTCCCAATTTCATTTTTGCACTCTTTCTTTTTTTTTCTCTTCTTCTTTCTCTCCTATCCTCTAATTTGCCTTTCTCTGGTGGTTATCAATATAGTGAATACATTTCTATTCAGTACCTTGTGCACTGTACCTGGATATGTTGAATTTTGTGCCTTTAAATCAACGCAGGAGAGAGAACTATATAACCAGACACCCAGAGAAGAGAGACCACAGGGAGACGAAGAAACAGACCACATATGAAAGAAAAGCAGGTATCACCAGAAAAGGAAGTAAACGAAATATTAAAAGTAGCAAAACAAAAACAGTTAATGACCTACAAGCTGATTTCTCAACAGAAACTATGCAGGCCAGACGGGAGTGGCAAGAAATATTCAAAGTGATGAACAACAAGGACCTACAACCAAGATTACTCTACCCAGCAAAGATATCATTCAGAATTGAAGGTCAGATAAAGAGCTTCACAGAGAAGAAAAAGCTAAAGGAATTCATCACCACCAAACCAGTATTATATGAAAAGCTGAAATGTATTCTTTAAGAAGAGGAAGAAGAAAAAGTAAATATAAAAATTGTGAAAAACAAAAATACATGTCTATCAACAAATGAATCTAAAAATCAAGTGAATAAAAAATCTGATGAACAGAATAAACTGGTGAATATAATAAAATCAGAGGCAGACAAAGGGAGTGGACTGACAATTCCCTGGGGGAAGGGGTGTGGGGGCATGCAGGAAGAGACTGGATAGAAATCATACACCTATGGATGAGGACAATGGGGGGGAGGTAAGGACAGCAGGTGGGGTGGGAACCGGGTAGAGGGGATCTATGGGGGGTGGGGGGGGGGAGGAACAATTGTAATAATCTGAACAATAAAGATTTATTAAATTAAAAAACAAAACAAAAG